ATCTATTATGAAAAGCAGGTCGACAAGGTTGGATAACTTTAAGTACAAGCAACAACAAAACWGGTAAAAACAGTTCGTTTAACTGGTTGGTCACTTGGYAACAAGTTTAAWATARCCAGTYAAAGTAGCTCTTCTTAGTTATCGAKTAGTTCTTATGRKSTCACWAGATAACATTTAAAGAGATTAATGAGTTTTTAAAATCATGTTATATGGAAAAACCAATTGAAAATTAATGAATTATGAAGAATTTGGAACCATTGGTRTTTGAAGCAAGCTATCTTTTGTACTTTTGTCATGGTAAAGCATTTGTAAATTTATTCAATTCTACTGCAAATTTACCAAGGATTAAGGTGCAATTTTTGGTCCGAAGTTGATTCTTAAATCTGTTGAGTATCAAGTACATCAATTCTATTGTAGAGAATGAGTTTTTTGGAAAGAATTCACTGAACTAAAATAAAGAATATGCAAGGCCGATTACGATAATTTGTAAATTTGAGCCAAGAAATAAAATGTCGATCTTTCCAAACGAAGCAAGGAAAGGTATGTAGATGTATTAATAAAAGACTTTTCACTAGATTTTAGAAAACGTTTTCAAAAACGGGAAAAGCAAGTTAGAGCCTGAACATGACGCAGGAAGAAYAACTGATGGTGGCAATTTGAAAAACATTCCTTATGCGACTTTATCGAAAAAAATGAATTTAGTTTATATCAGCATGTCTTACTAAAACTTCGTTGAATCAAACTTTCTATGCTTTTAACCAACGTAATTAATCGAGCGAATGGTTTTAGAGTTTTTGTTTGTAAGTCGCTGTGGTTAAGCGATTTTCCACCGAAATATTTAGACACAAGGTGAAATGTCTACGTTAACATATCAAACGGTTGAACAAATTTATACGAAACAAAAAATTGAAAAATACTTTACTAGATGGAAGTTTTAATCGTGGATTTCTGCACAACGTAAAGGTACGTAAACGTACAAGTTAAGAATTTTTTCTATTGAATTGAAGAAAGAAAAAAAAAATTCAAAATACAACTAGAAAAATTATGACTGATCTTTTTGATGCTTGTAAGACTAGTGATAACTACATGAAACTGTGAAAAACTTACCGATTTTGCATCACTTCTTTCTGCTGCCATCTTGCGTTTCGGGAAATTCAAGAAATCAAGTTAAAATATTCCATGAATTTCGTCATTCACTTTTCCATTTTTTGCTGCTACCTATATTTCTGCAGTCCCTCATTTTGAAATCAAAATTTAGCAGGTCATTGCAGTAAAACGGCTTTAAGCATTTAGTTTGAAAAAAGGTGGAAGACGAAAATGAAAAATTCTGATAACGAAGGCGGCGGCGGCGGTGAATTTAACTGAATCGTTTACAGAACAAAGACGTGCAAAAGGAACCCCTTTGAWTGCCATGTGCTAACGTCTTTCAATATTCAAAACAACCCTGTTAAACAAAAATRTTTATACTTAGAAGACATTAAACAATTGGAATAATTAAAGTTACATCTACTACAAGTAAAGACCTTCCCTTCGAAACAAAACCTGTCAAACAACGGAGATATATCTAATTAGATTTTAAATTTTAGCGAAAAAATGGATGGGCTTATTTGACTTTCAGCTGTTGTAAAAACTTACATTTTCATTCAAACCACTAATGAGGTTGATAAGCGTATTCCACCCTTTCGACCAGAAAATGAAATTAAATCCAACCTAACCMGAGTTTTTTTTCTTTCATATATTTAAAGATAAAGTATACTCTTTATTTTATAGTCGCCTTTGTAGTTTTTCTGTTTAACARAGAAACTATGAAGGTGACTACTGACTCTATCCTTAATACTTTGCAGCCAATGGACTACTTCGACGATACGGCAGCCATCTTGCCAGGGGGCAAAACAAAACAAAGATGACGGAAATATATATAGGGTTTCGTGCGTGTCTTTTTTTTATGGGTAAAAGCGATAGATGTGCCGTCTATCTTTTGTTGTATTCTCTTGTGGTAAGCTGTTAATATCAATCGACGTCATTACAGTAACAAATCTTTATCTACCCCCTGAACGCCCCACAATGCATCGCTATCCAAGATGGCCGCCGTATCGTCAAAGTAGTCCATTGCAACACTTAGGTTTGTCCTAGTCCCTTTTTGCACCCTAGATAAGGTGTGTACTTCCCTGCTAGCAGTCTCACACGCTGGCGATTCTTAAAATGGGAGACCGAGTCTTTGATTTTCTCTGCCAAGAATCGCCAACGATGGAGGCTCTGCTAGCCGGGAAGACGTGTACTTAAGAGAGTAAAAGGCTTCTGACGCTGCAGCAACTCCGGTTGTCTTATTCAAGCCAAAATGAATGAACTGCAAAACCCCTTCTTACTTGTCTGCCTTTATTTACATTCTTAGTTGACTTTACAATATTCAATCTATCTAGATGTCTATCAGCCCAAACTAAAAGGTGACAAATACAGCAATATTTACGAAATAAACATCACATTTATTATAATAATATAAAAATCAAGCTTATAATATATGAAGAAGGAAATTCCTCAAAGTATACTTTAAACCGCTAATTCGAAATATAACCAATATATCTTACATTCGAGTTTCGATGGCGTTTTCGAGGACAATTTCAGTTCACTCGCGTTAATCTTGGAGTTAAATTTGTAACCGCAAAATACTAAATCTCTCAATTTAGGACCAGAGTCTATTTTTCTTGTCCTAGTAACGGYGTTTGTAGCCTTTCTTGAAGAACAGTAACGACTCGAGACATGAGTTCTGTTAGGTTTTTATGTRCGACAAAGATTTCTTCGTTAGAAAATCTTGCTAAGACTTCGGGAGATGCTTTCTCAAGAACTGAGTTTAAAGTGTGATAAAATGATTGTTCGGGTGTTTCTTCTCGAGTGTTTTGAACTGTTTCATCCTTAGTAGATTCATCTACGTGTTTATCTTGCTTTTCTTCTTGTTGCTGTTCTTCATTATTTCTGTATTTTAGCTCATTGTCAGCAGTGTTATCTACCAAAACAAGAAGCAAAAATTAACATTAAATTTTAACTYATTGAAATGACTTTTTACATTAATTGACAATTTTGTTGAATCAGTTTTATTATTGCATTGGAAATCTATCGAAAAGGCGTTTTTATCATTATTATATTTATTTAACGAGGTTATCGAGCTTTTTATGATTGACATGACCTCATAGACCTAATCCACTGTTATCCCATTTCCGAACAGGTGTCATTCTCTAGAGTATAATTTCTTTGTTTAACGGTTGTGCATGATAGTAAACATGAATATGGATAGAGCACAAACAAAGAATGTTATTTTCAAGAGTAGCGCGTGGTCGGAAATGGGAAAATATTATGCCTGGCTGGATTTGGTCCATTTGAATTATGTACACAGCACCGGAGTGGCTTTTCATTTTTCCATTTTCACTCACTTTACATTCAGTCACGAAAAATGGAACGAATTAAAGCTATTGCCCATTTTCCTATTATGTGAAACTGGATACAGGATGTGAGAGAAAACAGCAGTAAAAGTAACAACAATAAAAARCTTAAAATATATAATAAGAACTTACCAGCACCCGAAGGAAGTTCACCAATTTCAAGTCCAGATTCTTTGTCATCATCAACTTTTTCAGTCATATCTGTTGTTTTTTCCATTTCTTCTTCATCATTCGAAGCAGCATAATTTTCTATATCCGCATTAATGATACTCATCAACTCACTGGTACTGTACACTTTATTACCTTCACTTTCATCATCACTTTGAGAAAACAGGACTGTTGGCTTTGAACAGGCTGTCCTCGTAGGCGTAGTATTGTTCACTTCTTCATCTAGAGTATCACTATCATCAACGTCTTCTGGTACAGGTAGAGGAGGCGTGTATGATATTTCAACAGAAACTTCATCCTGTTTGATCTCTTTAGCGTCCTCAGACCCCAATGATGTTTTTTCGGATAAAACTACAGATTCTCGTTCAACAGAAGATGTACACACGGTATGGTCTTTAGTAAGATCTTCGTCACCACATTTCGCGCTCTGCTCTCCACCTTCACTATCTTTTTCGTTCTCCTTCTCTTTTACTTCTTCCAACGAAACATTTCTTTCCGTTTCTTTGTTTTCCTCACTTTCCAACACTTTTTCCTCAGATTTTTCACACGATTCTTCAGAATTTGCCATGTTTTCATCGGAAGCACTAAGTTGTTTTTCCAGTACGTTCATGCTATTATTGTTCACAATATCTTCGCTTTCCAAGATTGTTGGACAATTTAGATTGCTCTCAATAGATTTATCACCCCAWTTCTTTTCTTTTCCTACATATAACAAGATTTCAATCAGTTATGTAGGCATGTCCTATGATTGGCCGAGAGCAGTCAGCCAATCCTCTATCAGCCTTTCCGAGGTAGAGGAAAAAAAACTGGGACATTACAGTGCATTGTGGGGCTGTTTTAGGAGACAAGATGGCGTTTATTCCGTCCCTTCAAACAGTTCCACAATGCACTGCATGCTTTTATCGGAAAATGCCAACTTGACCCAGTTTTTCCACAACCTTGGAATGGCTAATAACGTGTGAACTGAACATGATAAATGTATTTTTTGTAGATTTTTCTGCAGATAATTAATGACTATTTTTTCCTCAAGAACTGTTCTTGGTGTATGCGTAAAAATAGAATTGTATGAAATGTCTAATCAAGACGTATGTACAAAATAGAGCGACCACCCATCTCAAGCGACCACATCTGCCTGAATCTGAGTAACCTCTGTAAAACGGCCACCCATCTCAAGCGACCACATCTGTCTGAATCTGAGTAGCCTCTGTAAAACGGCCACCCATCTCAAGCGACCACATCTGTCTGATTCTGAGTAACCTCTGTAAAACGGCCACCCATCTCAAGCGACCAAATCTGTCTGAATCTTAGTAGCCTTTGTAAATAGACTGTCCGTCTCAAGCAACCAAATCTGTCTGAATCTTAGTAGCCTTTGTAAATCGACTGTCCGTCTCAAGCGACCAAATCTGTCTGTATCTTAGTAGCCTTTGTAAATCAGCCGTCCGTCTCAAGCGACCACATCTACCTAAATCATGAATGACTTACCTGATAATGCTGTTATATCTCTCGCAGTCTTGGACTTCGATCCCTTAGTTTTCTGATGGAAGTTTGTCAGCGCAGCCCGTAAGGTTTGTACTTTGGGAGATCGTATTGGCAGATTATTGATCTGGAATTCCTTCAATGATGATAGGTTACCAACTGTCCTGATGTTCTGCGCGTGAATCACGTGACCAAGCCCACGTGACCAGGTAAAGGAGCACAGTGATGGTAGGATTTGTTCGACTGGTACGTTACAGTTCACGAGATCGGGATAGATACAYGATGCATTGTCATCCTTTCCGTCTTTACCTGCTGATGGGGTCTTGCGACGCTAATGGGAAACATAACAGAAAAATCAATTAAGCAGGAAAAACTCTGAAAAACTTAGTAAAAGTCAATAGGCCCTTTGCAGTTAACGGTCACGTGTCTGTACTGGTGAGCAAATTTTTTGTTTTTATTTTACATTGGTGATTCTTTTTAGCTACTTGTAAAGAAGTGAATGAAAACATATGTATCCAGTGTGTTACGAAATGCAGTTTTATTACGATCTCTCGGAACAGGTTGTAGAAAGTGTGTTTGCTCACCAGCATATTTCACCCATGGGAATCAAAAGGTTAATTCATTTGTTCTTAGTGAATTAATCAGCACGTGATTACTGAGCTGCAAAGGGCCTAATTTTCCTACTTCCTTGAGCACGAAAGACGTTTTGCATGATCATTTGCCGGCAGCCATGTTAGATAAGCAGAATAGTCGACTTTTTTCTTAAAATCTTATCACTATTTATTATGTATGACTTTGTATTCTAAATATTATAAAGAGCCACATGGTTAGGCTTTTATTTCCCTTTAGTATTGTTCCCTTACTACATCGGAAAAGTACTCGACAGCTACTGTATTTCCAACATGGAGGCCATTCATACAAAAATAATGATGGTCAAGGTATTTGAAATAGGACAACATCTTGYCCAAACAAGAATAATAAGCCTGCTTACTAAATACATATACTCAGATAGGCAGACAGATACACACGAACAGACAGGAAACTCACTTTTTGGTCTTCCTATATTAGTAGGGCACGTGTACCCGGCTATGAGTTTTAGAGACTATAATTAAGTTGTCGCTGCTGTTGTTATTTTTTCAAAACCCTCCTGTTCTACTCTCGTTTTACTTACTCGTTTGATAATAGTAAAGTTCTCAGAGCCTCTCGATGGTGTAGTCATAACTGGTTCTGTGTCTTTTGACGATTCTGTTAGCTCTGATTGGGTAACTGTGGGTTTCTCTGTTGCTGGATTTACGCTCGTTTCCTTTTGTTGGGGTTCCTGTGCTAACGGCATTGCGAATGACACACGTCTTACCTAGRGGTGTAGGGTGGTGTTAGTAATATTGTACCGTTTCCTTTATGATAATACATGCATCAAGAGTTCCGCGCTACTGCTCTAAGCGCATGTTCAAGGGGTCAAAAAGTGGGACCATGGGTTGTAAAAATTGCTATATTTTCTTTTATATTTGATTCGGAATTTAAGATTTGAATCAACTCGAGTTTAGTGATGGATGCAATCGTTGTCAATGTTTTAATCTAATCTAACGCGTTTACCACTCCTGGGTGGACGGCTGGATGCCTAACAGGCCTTGCGGCCCAATTGATAAGGCAGCCGGTTAGCACGGGCACTGATGGTACAGGGTTACATATAGTGAAGACAGACGGGGACTACGGTTTTAAGTCCTTGTCCGAGAAGACTTGAAGGTCTAACCATTTGCAGATATTATTACAAAGGCAGCACCTTCTCCTCAGTTATTTTAAGACCCTGAGTGTTGGTTCGGCCGAGGCTTGAACCACGACCTTTCGCACAATAGGCCCACGCTCTTACCAACTGAGCTATCCAATGTTTTAGTGGCCATGTGAAATAGTCCGTTTTCGAACTAGTCAAATACCGCTGTGTTCCTTGATCACGACTCATTTATACAGGTTAGTGTTATTTTGGTGTACATATATTCACAAATACCAACAGATGCTCCTCAAACCTTTCTGGAACTTAACCTTAGAATTCGTTCAATACCGCTGTGTTCCTTGATCACGACTCATTTATACAGGTTAGTGTTATTTTGGTGTACATATATTCACAAATACCAACAGTAAAGTAAATAATGCACAACTTCAACTATACAAACACTTTGAAATTACACGGACCTTCACTGGAATGCAAAAATATTCAAAATAATTCCATACGAATTCGAGGCTAAGGCCCCGTTCACACGCATTCGAAAATTTTTGTACCCGCAAATTTTTTTTTGCGGATACGAGAATGTTCGCGTCCACACGCAGGGTATTCGAATCGTTTTCGAATCGTTTTCACTGTCCACACATATCCGGAAATTTCTTGATCCGCCCTGATTTTCTTATTGAGCATGCGCAAAATCGTGTTTACTTCAGCGTATTCGAAAATTTGCGGATACGACCGTCCACACGTATCCGTATTCGGAGCGTGTTCGAAAATTTCCACTCTGGRGACCGTTTTCGAAAATTTSCGGATGTGGATACAAAAATTTGCGGATACGTGTGGACGGGGCCTAACCTTGTAGAAAAGAGTAGTCGAAACTGAAGAATAGACCTATCCCGAATTCACTTGGTTGAAACAATGGTTTCAAGTCGAGGTTGAACTTGATGAATAAAAGATTCAATTTCAAACCATTGTTTCGTGGTCAGTCAAGCGAATTCGAGATACAATATATACACAGTAGAGTTGTGTTCTTTCCTTTGGTCTGTATGGTCCTTGATTAATCTTACTATAACTAACCTTATTTGGAGGAGACGGCGAGTCGTACCGCCCAGTGCATCTCTTCAAGATCCCTGTGGAAGGCGACGATACAGGAGAATGGAAACTTTTGATAACAGAAGGCTGGGTTGGACTTCCGGTGTTAGGTTTCATAAATTTAATCTTTGCGCACGAAACAGGAGATGACATCACGCCTTTACTGAACTGGGCAGTGCCCTTGCTTTTTACATCTAGAGACTCTAGAGGTCTTACTGGATCCACTTCCTCTTTTTCATTCCCTTCCGCTTCCGGTTTCTCTGAATCTAAGTGATTTTCATTGTTTACGGGTCCCTGTTCTTGTGAGTCTGTATTTTGAGTACTTGAAGAAGATTCCTGATTTTCCAAGGAATTCTCTGTTGCTCCTGAGTTATTTTCAGACGATTCGTTGTCTTTTTTGGGTGTTTCCAGTTTCAGCTGACGTCCTCTTCTTGTTCGACCGGCAATCGGCGAAGTCTTGGATTTCTCAGYCATTGATTTCTTTTTCTTCCTGGACGACGTCACCTTGGTAGAGCTTCCTTTACCTTTATCTTTATCGTCCTTCGCTTCGATCTCTTGGCTCTCACTATGTTTTTTATCCATCATTTCATCGTTATCGGTTATATCTGAGATCGGGATGATTTCTGGTAGTTGAACAGTTTCACCTCCAATTTTCTCAGCAGTGTTTTTATCCCTATCGTTGACATCTTTGAGCAGTACTACCATACTATTGCGAACAGGAATACAACCAGATCTTCTAAGTGACTTGAAATGACGAGGGGAATCAGACACTTGAGATGATGGTATAACATCAGGTGAAGTTACTTCTTCTTTTCTCTCTGCATCTTTATCCGTGTGGGATGTGGCAAGCCATGACGTCATTGGTTCATCCTTCTCTGGAGTTTCCAGGCTTGGAGCAGTGTTTGTTGTTGCTAAGGGGTCTTCGATGTCTGTTTCCATTGTTTCAGGTATCTCATTCACTTTCTTGAATTCTTCAGTGACTTCTTGATCACTATCTCTGCTAGGTTTGCTCTCAGCGACATGATCTATCTCCTCTCTGGTTTCCACCATCTTTTCTTTGTCCTCATCTTCAGTGACTGACACCTTATTTGCGAAGGGCGCTAATTGGTCTTCRACTGAAACGAAAAAACACAAAATGCGTAATCTGATCTAAATCATGGCACGATTATCTCACGGTTATCTCACACATCGAACCCTTAAACAACTTCTGGGCTGATCAAAGTCAGGCCGTGTTAAATGTTATGGAAAAAACGATTGAACAAAAACTTCCTTGCTATTTAGCATGGTGAAAAACGCTGAAAATAGATTAAATAAAAATAAAAATAAAAATAAAAAAAAAGAAAGAAAAGAAAAAAGATGAACATATATTATGCCCCAAAAAATGCAAAAACCTGACAGTGGCAACGAATAATGATCAACAACAAACATGCTCGTCTTCTTATAACAGTTAGAAGAAAGCTGGAACAAGTTGCCGACATTGACGCTAGCAGGTACCAAGTAAATAAATAAAAGAATGAAAAATGAGAATATTACGAAAGAATGAATTTCCCACTTACTTGGTGAAGGAGTACATAGTCTGTTAAAGACAAAAAACAATTAGATACGAGATAATTCATTGACCAAAACATAAACTAAAACGAGTATCACTAACGTTTATTGACACCAGTCTACAGTACGTAGCTTTGATACAAACGCCACCATATAAGATATGGTAAACAAGATGTTGATACCCAAGCTAGTCCACAATACACCACGTTCACGACAAATGTTGCTTGATTTTGACCGAATGAAGAAAAAGCACTTAAAAATAGATATATTCGCGGCATATTTTTCACGATTGTCCGGTTTCGACCCAGTTCTATTACTATATGAAACTCATCGAACTGAGTGCGCATTACATCATGGCTGTGCTATCATCTATAACACTAATTTCAATAATAACTTACAAAGACTCTTGAGTGGAGTAGAAGGCATCCTGGGATTGGTCCAAACAGTTATACAGTGCAGGCACAGCACTGTGGAATCAATAAAAGTATCATCAGCATTCACCATACACCATCAGAACTTAAGAGAGCAGATTTCGTATTCCTGTGAACAATTCAACAATGTACGGACGCACCGTACCATGGCCTACAATAGCCTACATCCGAGAAATGCTTCACTTGTCGCGCACAAAGGTTTCAGTATGAGGCTACGTGCTAAATGCTCAGTCATTTGTGACAGGCGGTAAAAATAAATTTAATTTAGCACCTAGCCTCATACTGAAACCTTGGTGCGTGACAAGCGAAGTATATCTCGGAGGTGGGCTGTTACAATACATTCCTTTGATTCAAAGATCGAATTGCTGAAGACTGAAGGACCATGCAAAAACCCTTGCAGTACTGGAGAGAACCCCGCGCAGAACAAACTTAACTAACATACAAGGCACTGCACGCAAGGCTCGAACTACGGTCCCCTTGCAACAAATCTTAAATGAAATGGTGAGAGGATAACAACCTTAGCAGCATAGACCACCCATGCTACCCATAAAGGTCTGAGTTCGTAATTTTTTGATTGATGGAAATAGGAATAAAAGTTGGAAAACATCTAATGTTGTGACAAAATCAGTGACTGACAGGTGATCATCATAACTGTACCTTTTCTCTTGCATCACTTCTTTTTGGTGCTCCGTAAGCAGACGTTTTTTAGTTGGTGATGGGGCTATCCTCACAAAATCCTGAAACAAAATAATTGGTGTGTTAATGATGGGAAATTATATAGCATTACTGAATAATAGCGCACACAGCAAGAGAAAAGTGTACACAACAATAGAAAGACGTACACAGCAAAAGAAAGAATGAGAGATGAGGTGGTAAGCCGTCATTAAGCCGAACATTACGCATGAAAGAATGCTGGAAACTACTTTGGTAACCCCTTCTGTATGCTGCTGTTGCATTGACATAATTATGCAACTGGAGTGTGCATTTCATTGCTAAAAAAGGCTGGTCATGAAGACCTGCCAAATGAGTTTTAGCTCAGTCATATCTCGTTTCTGGCTCTATGGTACTGCTCAAAATGACTGGCAAGGCAAGATCTAATTCATTCCAGACATTGTCTGATGATGTACTGTTATGTTTAGCCCTGCATTTTGATCTATATAAGGGACTGTTCATTAATTATGCCTTTGGGGGGCTTGAGGAAAAGTAGGGGGCTTTGAAAAAAAATCACACAAAGAAGGGGGGCTTTAATAGTATTTGCTTACTTAAAGGGTAGGGTTTGAAACAAATAAATAAGGTATATCTAAAAGGTCACAAGGAGGGGGGGTCAAAAAAAGTTTTTTTAGATAGAATTGGGGGGGGGGGGGGGGGGGGGGTTTGGAATTTTTCCAAGTTTCCTTTCGATTTTTCCTCCAGCCCACCCTGAGGCATAATTAATGAACAGTCCCTAAATACACTAGTACAAGTCCATGATTGCAAGCTTCTTGGCTTACTGAACGTTCTAATCTTAATGTCACACACCTGACTATCATCATCTAAGAAGGAGAGTGGTAGTTTCCTTCTGGCATGTGTATTACGTGTTGCACCTTTACTCTTGGAGGGCAGCCTTGGTTCTGTCCATGCCTGTAATGAAATGAAGTCATTTAAAAATAGTAACATTTTGCACAAGAGGTCAGTGAAAAGCTTGTCTTTTCTAGCATAGCAAGAAAGTGCATTATGGTCTAGCTTGGCTACAAACTTCTTTTGTTCACCACACCTTATGTGGAGTTCTTTGTATAAAAGCAACTACAGTAGAATGGCAATCTTCTTACCTTATTTGGAGAGCTTTTTTCCACAGCTTTCTCTGCCTCAGCAGCCTTGTGGAGAAAGCTACCCTTGACCTTAGGGGACCCCCCAAGAAACATCAAGGGTTTTATCCTGACAGGGGATCCCTGGGGCTGAGTCATTTGACTCATTTCCTCAATCTAAAAAATATGTATATATATTATTCAATATTTAATGATTTAATAATTTATGATTCATATCAGCCATTCYGAGGTGAAGGGGAAAACTGGGTCAAATTGGCATTGCAATGCATTTTGGGCTGTCTTGGGGGAATATGTCCAACATCGTATCTATTTCATCCCCCAAGACAGTTCCGAAATGCATCACAATGCCAACTTGACCCACCTCGGAATGGCTAATAGCACTCTTTCTATAAGTACATAAACAAAGACGCTTACAATCATGAGAGGTGGTTAGTACGAGTCAGTTCATTCAGAAAATCAAGGGTGGCATAGGGTTGTGCACTTGCCCCTCACTTCTGGGGACTCTGGTTTGATTCCTAGACTTGACATAATATTAGAGTAGATGTTGCTGGGTCTCTTCTTCAATGAAGAATTAGAGGTTGGCAAACCCAAGGGAATTTGATGATTAAGAAAACCATTTCAAAGAGAAAACATTGTTGTATTGATCATACCTCAATTTCAGCCTGTGCTTCTTTAAGAGGATCCTGAAACATTTTCATACCAAAAATATTTTCAAGAAGATCATAATTACTCCGGCATAACTCCAGGAATTTTAAGGTATATATAGGGTGTAAAATTTACTTTTCAACTTGTATTACAAAAGTTTGAATCTGTGACATGTTAACCTATTGCTACAATATTTTGTTCATTTTTACATTACGCTGCACAAGTTACAACTGTATTTAAAATTTTCAAAGAGCAATAAAGGATTTCAAATTCCAAGAGTTTAGGAATCACTTTGCAGTGTTTTTCATTAAATGAAGAAATTGGCCTATTTTCTACAGTTATCACAGAGGTTACTTGGGGTATAGTTTCAGATGTTTTGGAGTAGGTGGTCATAAGTCTGAAGTAAATGGCTGTGATCTGATACAAGGAACAAAAGGTATTTCTTATAAGAAAAGAAAACATCGCTGGCAGTTGACTTCCAAGCATTTGTCGGAGCTTACAACTGCCAGCTTATTCTTAAAGCCCTGTAACGATTGCTAAATTTCAGCCCCCCCCCCCCCACACAAACACACAAAATGTTTTAGGCTGCTCTGCAGTCCTTGTTCTAGTACGTTCAAGTTAAACAAAGCCATGGATAAGTCATGGTGCTCAGTTAAATACCTCTGTACTTTTCAATCCAGGAACAGTCAGATTTGCTTTATCTTTGACTGACAGCAGGACAGATCTGTGCAATACCAAAAAGATTTCCATTTTCAATAATATTTTTAAGAAACCTACAGTATGCACCACAAARTATTGACTGCAAAATTCATTTTTAGAGCATATTTTTTTGAGAAAAAACCTGAATACCTGAGGTCTAATTTAAAATTGTCTATAATTTCTGAACATTTGAATCTTTTATAGAATACAATTTTGGTGGAAAAAGTGGAAATTTTTTTACCTTAAATCGTTTGAATACTCCAATGTCTGAGAWTTAGCAAATGTTGCATTCCAGAATATTATTGTTTGGTTTTTCAGCTGCCTTCTGTGGTGAACAAATGTGACCTCCTGTGAATTGATATATGAATTTGATTAATCACGGAATTATAAAGAAAAGGGTCAAAAAGTGAAACAGAATGRAAGAATAGGAGAAATAAAAAAAATAAATAGAAATGGAAAGGACGAAACAAAACAAGAGAATTTAAAAAAATTAATAGGATAMAGATAAATTGATTTGAAATGAGAAGCAAACCTAACATCAGGTTCCAAACTTAACTTCTAAGAGATCGTCCATTAGCCATTCTGATGTTGAGGGAAAAACTGGGTTGAGTTAACATAGCAGTGCATTGTGGGGCTGACTTATATTTAGTGCCATCTTTCCAAGATGGCGTCTGCTTTGTCCCCTACAGCAGCCCCAAAATGCATTGCAATGCACACCTGACCCAGTATTTTCCTCCACCTTGAAATGGCTAATAAAGGTATTGTACCATCRCGTGGAGGCAGCCATGACTGGAGGCAGGAACAATCGAATMTAGTCTAATCTGATTTACATGAGAAAAGAATTCAGTTTCCCAGGGGAAAAAAATTTATTGTTATGCCCTCTGTCATGGCTGCCGTCAAGTAATGGTGCAAAACTTCTATTGGAAAACTATGTTTTAGGAGTAAGGCAAAAATCTTGGTCAGCAGATTTCATTAGACAACAGCTAATCTCAGACCCTGAATATGTAATAAAGAACATCTGTTTTTCAATAATCCCTTCACTTACCAGTAGAGGAGACAAGGCAGCAAGTAGTTCACTACTGTATGGTTCACCATGCCGGCTTTGTATGCTGGTCAGAATATCTTGCCAGAGTTTCTCAACCTGTAAAGAAAAAAGAATGACACACAAATTTCCAGTACAACATTTACATGTAGTTCCACGATGTAAATGTAACGACTTCTTTGGATGCTCCAAACACTGTAAGCTAATGATGGGTGTTGAGCCCAAAGCTTGGTTATTAAATTTATAACCCTTAAGCAGGGGTTTGACTAAGGTTCAGGGATCGGAGAATGCTCCGGTAGTGAGTAAAATTATCCAGCTTAAACTACCATGAATAGCTTAGTAATTTAAAAATTGGTCCCTTTGGCTCATGACCWTCTCCTGTCATTTCAAAAACTTGATGAATTAAACCCCTGTTTAAGATTGTTGAAACATTTCATCTGTACTTCTGGGTCCAGTTGTAYGAAGCCTGGATAGCGCTATCCGACAGATAAATCTTATCCAGTTTGGATATTTAATTTATTGGATAACAGCATCGACTTATTCACTGGATAAGGATTTATCTGCCGGATAGCGCTATCCACCCTTTGTACAACCGGGCCCTGTGGTACCAGCATAGACATCCAATTTGTTATAACTGATTGCACCAATACTGGCTGACAWACATAATGTTTATACATTATCAAAAATCTGACTTTTTTAGCTGGCCTTTTGGCTGGAAATAATTTTAAAACAAGTAAAACATATTACGAGATTTGACTCACTCCCCTTACCTTTTGAATGAATTTTGTTGTGAAGATTGSCTTTTCCATACTTGATTTTGATTCTTTTACACTGTAGGGGGAACAAATACTAATTCTTATACTTCTTGTTTTTCAATTTCCAATTTTCCCATTTCAAATCAGGTGCCATTTCCTAGAGTATCATTTTTTTGGTTGCATATGAGAAGACACATGAATATGGATACAACTCAAACAAAGAATCTTATTCTCARGAGAATGACACATGGTCTGTAATGTTAGATGACAAAATGTTTTGACAAAGGTAACGAGGTCTGTTTCACTCAGAAAAGGAGACAAGAGTATTTGATGTATGTATGTGTTGGATATTATTACTGTATCTGGAGTGTGAGGACCTCACTATAGGAACAAGTGCCAAGGAAAGTTGTTCAGTTGCTCCAGTAAAAAGGAGACAAGAGTATTTGATGGATGTATGCGTTGGATACTATTATTGTACCTGGAGTGTGAGGACCTCACTATTGGAACAAGTGACAAGGAAAGTTGTTCAGTTGCTGCAGCAATCATTGATGCTCCATTCAAATGTTGAAAGAACATTGAAAGGCTGTCAACCAAATTGGTCATCAGAGCAGCCAACATGCCGGAGTTGCTACTTGCTTTCTGAAAACCAATATCAAGTCTAGCTTTAGAACAATGCTAAATATAAGTACTGGTAAGTTAATAACCCTTGATGCAAGGCAGGTTGCACCACAGAACTGCACCACAAATGCATCAAAATAGACCTAGGCATTGACAAACYTGTTGCTGCAAATTTAAATGAGTTGAAGTTGAACCCTTTACCAGCAATAGAAACAGCAATTTCTTTTCAGTAATTCACAAAGATTTTTTAAGCCAGATGTTTTATTAGCTGAGAGAACTTTTAAGTTCAAAAATTGACAAATTTACAGAGGTTTGAATGACTGAAGGTACAYGTATTTATCTACTATTTGGAAGGTGGAAGAATCATCTATTAAATTCATACATAGCTCTACTTTCTGTTGTGATAATTAACTCCTTTAAATGCAGAACTTCCACCACTCATTCCTTGCCCTTCCACACTGATACACAATCGCTTTATTTGACAATGTAAACCAATTTAGAAATACCTTGGAATCAACCATGTTATAGCATGYAGTAATGAGTCTCCTCATCAGTTCTACTGTGCTGGTCATGTTCCCAAGGGGGCGAGCAATCTTTTTTGTCCATTTTGAAGGTGACTTGATGGGAGATTTGCCTGCAAATACTGGTGTAATGGTGTAGTCCATGCATTCCAGGATAGTGATTACTAGATTTATCATCCCATTCAGGAAAGAAATATCCTGTAGAATATGAGAAATCTCACTAGTCTGTCCAAAAATCAAGCCAGATGCTTCAGCATCTAAAGCAATATATTGCAGCACAATAGCGGTTTCCAATAATACACACAGTAAGTAGTTGCTAGTTGCCACAGAAATTTAATTTTTTGCTGCCATCAATGAAAATAATCAGTCAGTGACTTTTATATTTTTGACTAGCATCAGTGAAAACCAAATTTCAATCAGAATGCATCAGAAAAGACCTGGGTAATCAAGGGGTGAGAGAATGAATAGTTTATGGTAGTATGTAAGTAACCAGTTGCTAACTGGTCATACTGACCTGTGCTTGGTTTGCAGTCCAGTTGTCCAGCAACTTAAGACATAATTCTTCAGCACAGGTGTTGGCATCTATTGACGGCACTAGCGCTGCTGCACGGGAGAAACTCCTGTAAAGCTCACTCAAGTCTTTGTTGATAGATCTTATTTCTCCCTAGAAAACAGCATTACACATGTCACTCCATGTAGCACACAGAACACATAGATATCAGATAACACTCTTGTGAATACAACCTGTAATAAAATTATCAAAGTCACAAACCCCAAAATAACTCAGGGCTAATCTAAGTCAGGGCATGGCTAACTCACAGATTGAACCCTGAAATAACCTCTGGGCTGATCTAAGTCAGGGCATGGCTAACTCACAGATTGAACCCTGAAACAACATCTGGGCTAATCTAAGTTAGGGCACTGCTAACTCGCAGAACAAATCTTGATAAAACCTCTAGGCTGATCCAAGGCAGGGTAGGATTAAGCCACAGATTAAACCCTGAAACAATCTCTGGACTAATTTAAGTCAAGGCATTGCTAAGTCACAGTTTGWATTGGAATTKTACAATGTTAGGTCTTGTGGAGGAAGTAAAATCAGAAAACCTGAGAAAAACCTTAGGAGCAAGGGAAAAAACCCAGTAATAAATAATCAGTTGTACCTGGCCTAGAGAAGCATTAAGAAGTTCCTTGGCCGCAAACAAGAATGCAAGATATACTGCTGTGAAGTCATGATCCAATGCATTTCYCTGATTCACCTCATTACTCTAAAAAGAAAATAATAATAATTTAATTAAACATTATGAAGAAGCCAATAATGTTTGAATAAGAACTACTGCGTGAGTTTGAGTAAGGGTACCAAATTTGCAAAGTTAATGGACCTTCATATGCACTGCCATTATTTTATGATYGACTGTTCACTTTTAAAATATTGCAAAGCAACTCACCTTTATAATGTGTTCATTTAGTTTCGATACAGTTGAACTCCAAAGACGCCACAGTGGGTGCTTTTTCTCTGATAAACTGCAGGAAAATTTTTTTATAATAATGAATGCATGGATGGATGGGATGGACATAAATGTGGATGAATGGATGCAAAGATGGATGGATAGATGAATGGATGAATGGGATGGATAGATGAATGGGATGGATGAATAAATGCATGGATAGGATGAATGTAAAAGTGGATGGATGGATGGATGAATGGATCTATGGGATGGATGGATTGGATGGATGGGATGGATGAGATGGATGGAAGGATGGATGGATAGGATTGATGGATGAATGGATAGGATATGGATGGATGGATAAATGGATGGATAGGATATGGATGAATAGGATGGATGGATGAATGGATCAATGATTGGATTGATGGACTCATTTATAGATGCCAACATCTATAAATAAGTAAGGATAGAATAGAAAACAGAGATTAAAAGACTTGCTAGCTGTYGTTGAATGAATAATGAATGAAAAAAATAACTTCTAAACTACATGCAATTGCATTCATTAAGTATACCTTGCAACACTCTGGAGTAGTTGTAAAACTGCCTGAACATGAGTGAGTTGACCACTTGGGGCGTCAAGCCCACAAGACAACAGATTCTCAAAGGATATAAAAACTCTACAAGATTAATCAAAAAATATATTTATATATATGTTATCTACTGGTGAATGTGAGGTTCATTCTTAATCCAATTTTTATTCCTCCACATAAAAAGCAAGTAAATCTTTTTTTCTGATGAATACCTCTCATGGTTTGGTTCATGGTACCATTTCAATGAACAGASTAGTTGATGCAGAAGATCAATAGCAATAGACCCTTGAGGGTTGCCTTTAGATTGCAGACTTGTACAATGATGGCTGATCAAGAGAGGTGAGAGTTTTGAGAGTCTAACAAGCATTTTCTGTTGAGAAAAAGAATGTAAAAAACTGTCAATCTTTCTATATGGTTTTAAAGGGCATTATGTGAGTTGATGGACTATTTTAAACAGTAATGATGAAAAGGTAAATTATACACTGTGAAAAGATGAAAAAACTTAGTGACGTTTCGTCACTAAGAGTCTTTTACTTCATTTAAAAAACACCGACGCAGCTCACACTAGTTTTTAGCTAGTTATATCTTTTTAGGACTATTTTAAAGTTCATTACTGGTCAACTTTGTTGTTAACATACTGGATCACATTTCAAAGTCTATACAAAGGGTTTATTTTGTRTACCAAATTCCAGTTTCATGGACCCATTCACATTATACATGTAAGTGCTTTGGATCCCAATCATTGTGTTGTGGGTGCAGTTCAATTTCCAGGAAGCCTTTGTCAACATGAGTAAAGTCCTCAGATGCATTGAAATGATGTGGTCTTAATTTGCAGATATTCAAGAATTAAGGATTAGCATGATGTCTTAATTTGATTCCCAAATTGGGAATTTGTTGGGAATTCCCAATGAGTTCCGATCYAATTCCCAGAGAGAATGATATTGGGAACATGGCACTGATTCCCAATGTTAGTTTGTTGGGAATTTTGTTTTTCTATTGGGTATTAGAAGGAAATTCCCAACAATAAATCCCAACGTTGGTGTTCGAATTGGGCATTCAAGGAAATTCCCAACAATTCCTGATTTGGGAATCCGGTTTTTTTCCTGTGAAGGAGTCTATAACAATCAATATTTATGACAGAAGTCAAGTATAGTGCTTACAAATGAAGGTATGCAAAAGTATGACTGTTGATAATGTATTCACATACCTACTTTTATACAGGAGCTTTTGTACGCTATTATAAACTGAAACATATCAATGCAAAGCTGGCTCGTTTTACCTAATATGTTATACATAAGCTTGTTTGGCTGCAAAATGTCTATGCATAGAAGTCTCAGAATTCATTAAATGTGGTCACCTTTTGCGCATTGTAGTGTAGGAGGCTTAATGATACTTACAAGACTAGTTACAGTCGTGATATTACTGCTTCCAATGAGCTCTGTAGCAGTTGCCAGTAGAGGAAGAAAATGAGACTCAAATAAACTGATTCTTTCTGATCATAAAAAGAGTAAAGGAAAATATGYTTTAATCATACTTATGTGGGAAAATTTTACCAGGACAATAAAGAAGAAAGACAAAAAACAATGACTAAAAACACAATCTTTGGATTTAAGTATCCAGTTGATCTGAAATAGTGATGTAGAAATGGTGTCACTGCAAAACTGAGGTGTGATGAAGCCTGCAAAAGTTGCGAGTGAAAAATAAAAACATGCTCGTCATCATAATAAAGATATAAAACTCTTTTATCATTGTGTAGTTCCAGAAATCATCCATACCCACYCCACAGAGGAATTTGGAATTTCCGAAGAGTAGGGGGGTCAGAGAAAGAACAAAAAATTACAGAGTTTGCATGGAAGAAAATTGGAATTTCCAGGGGGTAGGGGGGTGTCTTAAAAAAATTCCTCCATGAAGGGGGTATGGATAATTTTTGGAACTACACATTCTGTCTCTGTTATCAAGCAGTTATTAGGAATATATATTTTTCATTTGATGTCCTGGAAATCAATAATTTTGAGAGCTAATATGACAGCTCAGTTTTGCAGATTTTCCCGATTCTGATTTCTTAACATTTTGTTCTCAGGTTGACTGGATATTGGTGATGGAGTATCTGAGGTATAGTCTGTCACCAATACCCTTACAGCAATACCTTTAAGGACAACACTTTCAACAAGTGTGACAAGGTTATTCCAAATACTCATTGCCAAGGAATCTGTATAAAAGAAAGAATTCACGCATTGATTGCAACAAAAGTTGTGACAGGTAAATACTATTATCATTGAAGTGCGACCTGCAAATCTTGTTATCTCATTTGTCAACTAGCATTTTCACAGTCGTGAATCAAAGAATAATGAAATAAAAAGCAATGTCATATTTAGAGAATTTGAGGATTAATCCAAAATTGCCCTCAAGATATTGTTGTTTTTTTAAATTTCAGTTGTTTGATTGACATTGAGATGCCAGTTGGCAAAAAAACGTCATTYGTTGAGTCCCACTTTAATGATAATCCTTTTGGGGTTAAAATCAACTTTGAATATATATTTTATTCCGGAAAATTTTAYGATCTTGAATGTAGCCTATGGAATGCTTTTACCATCTAATTTGAATATAGTAAATTATTAGAGGTTTTCAGCATGTATGTAATGTTTTCTAGTTTCAGACCATGTGTCATTCCCTTGAGTATTATTACTTTATCAACTATTGATAAAAGAGAAAATACCTCTACATGGAGATAACTTATACAAAAAATTTTACTTCCAAAGGGGAAAATATTTTGTCATAACTGCAAAAGTCAAATGGTTTTATACATAAAGTTTAATGCATAATGTACCTTGAAGTTCACTGCCACAAGCTTTGAATGCTTCTCTCACTGCACTTATCAATACAGTAGCATGTTTTTGAAATGCTTCACTTGTCTGGAAGACTGGCCCTTTAATATCATCTTCTGTAAATGGAGTTTTTATTGGCTTTAACGGTATTTATATTATATTGAAAAACGTATCTCACAGCTATCACCAGGGTTTTCAGTACCAGYTTGAGTAAGCGGCAAAACATAATGAATAGGTGGGGAGCAGCAATGCATCACTCATATCCCCTCTAGAGATTTTTGGGACTTTAAATCAAAATAGGCTGCAAGCTCATGTAAAATACCAAGCAAGTTTTGATGGCTGCCAGCTTCTATTGAAAACCATGTATCACTCCCCACACACTAACAGGTACATCCGTAATTTACATGTACAACACTCAACTCACACGTTGATTTTTACTGAGCTGAAAATAACTGGAATAACCAATGATATACGTTACGGCAAGGGAGAGAACACATCAAACAAATATKTTTATTATTTTCTGGAGCTACATTTAGACCTTTTCTAAGAAYGAGAATATGGTGCTGAAGTCTATATTGTTGGGTACAAACATCTTTTTGCCATGCCTTATACATGTATGGTGTTGTTTGTACCCAAGCTAGACCACAATGCATCCTGTTTATCGAACTCAGGAAACATCTACAGGGCTAATACTAACAGTCAGTCATTGAACATGTCATGTCCGATCAGAATTGGAACCTGTTGGTCATTTTGACCAGTAATGTTGAGCCAGGAACAAGGTGTGATGGAGCTAAAACTGATTATGACCGGGACGACTGCCATTATTTTTATCCTTGATCTCTGAATCAAAAACTATAACATTTACTTACCAAGAGTGAACTGAATGTTGGCAGGACTGGAACCATCAACTGCCAATAGTTTCTCCAGTATTTCACATCCCTGAATCAAGAGCTTGTCCTTGGTAGCCTTTGCAAAGCTGGCATGAATGACAGTAGGAGTTTTAGGAGTCCCCACGTCTTTGAGTGACCTTCTCGCTGTGGCTTTTGGTGTTTCAAACAAGGAATTGTTTATAAACTTTCCATTTGTTGGTGTTGGAGGGCATTTGAGGTCGCCAAAACCGTCCTTGCTCTTCAGCAAACTGACTTGGTCAATGCTTGTGCCAAATATGAACTGAAGCAAAGGTATACATATCTGAAGAACAAGAAAACCAACAAAACAAACGCTGTAAACTATGGCTGTACATTTGTATCATTATGAGAAGAGTTTAAGATCCTTCCAAGCTTAAATGGACATCGTTTTGTACACAATGTTTTCTCATTTCAGATCACATGTCATTTTCTTGAGAATAAAATTCTTTTTTTGAGTTGCATCCATATTCATGTGTCTTATCATTCACTACTGTTAAACAAAGAAATGACATATACTCAAAGGAATGACATGTGGTCTGAAATGGGAAACCTTTTCCTTAGTGTCTTCATATGCGCTTTTGATTTGGCACATCAAGGCATGCCTTAAAATATATTGACAAGCCAGATAGAAAATATGGCTTAAAGTCTGTATAGAATGTCTTTGTACTTGTGAAGGTTTCCTYGTGAAGATGAATGCAACAAGGAATCTCAGCCTAGGGTGGTAAAAATGGTCTACTCTTTCAAAATGTTGAAAACCTCCTTACCTTGTCAAAAAGATTCAAGAGTYTTTTACTCTCAAAAGCACACACAAAATGCCACCAAGTTGATAGTCTTGCTGCTTCCACTTTTTCATTTCGTTCTTTGACAGCCGAGTTCTAAGGAAACAAATTACAAAAAATACTGTCAGAAACATAATCTTGAAGTTCAAGATCTGAAGATTCTTTGGATTTCTTTAAGATGATAAACACCAATGCTGAAGAGTCCTAAATTGCCCAGTTTTCAATAAGATGTATATTAAAACTGTCAAATTTTATCAAAACTAGTTACGTACAACCTCTGGGCTGATGTGGACAGTAACAGTATTGGAATTTAGATTAAGGGCACTAATTCCATTAAGTTGAACCGATCACTCTGAGCGGCCAGTTTTCAAATGGTATTGGTCTTTTCTTATTAGTTTTTAGAACTTGGTCAACAAGTTATATAGAACTGAGGTATACAATTTGAGAATTGGCTGCTCGACCTGGAAAGCGCCCTAAGTTTTGCAGAGGCAGGAAAGACATAGAACCAGAAGAAAAACCCTTGAATCAATGAAGAAACCCAAAACAAAAACCCTACTTGCATGTCATGGAGAGTCCAGGGATTGAACCCAAGACCCCAGAGGTGAGAGGCAGGTGAGACACTAGTACTCTGGTCTGGGACAATTTCTTCAAAAAAAACTGTAGGATGTACTGGTATGTTCTGGAGAAACTCAACCCCATTAATATCAATGCCTTTTCTTACTACTTACCAATAATGGCATCATAATCAGATTGACTCGTTTTGGAGCACTCAGAACATCTGCAAAGAAGAAAGATATATAAATCTCTTATCTACATTTAACTGTCACATGTCAAGAGGTACAATAATAAAACAATTTATCACACATTTAGTGTAGATATCAGTGTGATAAAGCAGTGGTTCTGCAATAACTTACAAATTTCTCACACACTGATTGGTTATTTTTTATCAACAATTAGAGGACAGACAGATAAAGCTGACATCAATGAGCGTGCTACGCCTCGTGGATCCACACTACTTTGACAATGCGATGACACAATTTATCGTCAATAAGAGTACAGAAACATAAAAAGACACAAGACAAATACCTTGATTTATTGCAAAATTGTCAATCAACACCTGCCAAGCAAAGTATGACTCTACTTGAATGCTAACAGATGGATTCTTGAAACCCTAAGGAAACAATTATTATTCATAAATAAGGAACTCATTGTTTTTATAGTCAGGGCAAATACAATAAAAGAATATAAATAATCTGATTGGCATACAGTTTATAAAATGTTTCCATTCATTTATTTGTCTATTTTGGAAAGTTACCTGCTCAACAAGCTTAAGAATATCATTAATCAAGCTACTTCTATGAAGTGCCTAAAAAGAGAAAATTGATAAAATAAATATAGAGGTTTAATTGTCATGATGGTGGTACAGGTGATGCTGGTGCAGGTGATGCTGGTGCAGGCGATGCAGGTGATGGTGGTGCAGGTGATGGTGGTGCTGGGGATGCTTGTGCAGGGGATGGTGGTGCAGGTGATGGTGGTGCAGGTGATGGTGGTGCAGGTGATGGTGGTGCAGGTGATGGTGGTGCTGGGGAGGCTTGTGCAGGTGACAGTGGTGCAGGTTATGGTGGTGAAGGGGATGGTGGTGCAAGGGATGGTGGTGCAGGGGATGGTGGTGCAGGGGATGGTGGTGAAGGGGATGGTGGTGCAGGTGATGGTGGTGCTGGGGAGGCTAGTGCAGGTGACRGTGGTGCAGGTTATGGTGGTGAAGGTTATGGTGGTGCATGGGATGTTAATGCAGGGGATGGTGGTGCAGGGGATGGTGGTGCAGGGGATGGTGGTG